CCGGTCCGCGGACCGGGGGTTGGGGATCACTGAACTAGAAGACCTGACAGTTCAGTGTACCTCTATAAAAGATACCGTTAAGACCACATAATAAAAAGCAACATTGTTTGTAAAATGGCAAGGAATGATGGGAACAGAATAGGAAAGTTCACCTAGAACATACAGTATCTCAATCAGCATTCAAGGAATACAGGGAATTTTCTACTTCATTTTTTCCCCAAGCCTCATGTCCTCCAGAACTATTCTGTCAAATAAGGTCATCAACCATTTACCTTTTCAAGCTTCAGAATCTTCTCCTGGAACTCCTTCTTTAATGCTGATGCATCTTCACCATTCCTGAAAGCCCGAATATAGTCAAAGCACATTGGATGTAGCTAAATAAATCAGAAATGATACATTACCAAGCTGCACAAAAGTATAGGATTTTCATTCAAGAAACAAAAGATTACTATGGGAATTCAGTGATATCATCATCAACAAGGAAGACAATAAATTGTCTGTATAAATAAAAATAGGATCATGCGTGTTAGAACAACTGGGACCAGAATTTCCATTGCAAAGCAAAATGTCATATTGCTTAGTGTCAGCAATCCCTGGTGTTAAACAAGGATTGTGGATTGTTAGGCAAATACCTCCTCATCACTGCCGTCTTCCAACAATCAATTTCAGCAGGAAAACTGGCAGGAAGTTGCTAGTACAAGGTGACTTGCAAGCCGGCTGGCAGGCAGGTAAGTGGGTGCTGCCAGATAGAGAGGGAGCAGGCCAGGAAAGCATGGTTCAAGTGCATTAGGAATTGAAGTGGTTGCTGCTTGGTGGGAGATGATGTTTGAGAGTGCACAAGTGGAGAGTAGGCACAAGCGCAGTGGGCTTGGGATGGCTGCTGCTGGATTAGAGAATGCAAATGCATTCATAATTGGCAGATAGGAATGGAGTGGAAGAGGCGTGCGCAAGGGTGTACGAATAGAGAGGGAAGCACCACATGAGCACAGCGGGAGGAGAGATTGTGTAAGGGTGGAAAGACTTCACAAGACTACATAAATAGTGAAGGAAACACAATTCAGAGGTAGGTTCCTAACAGTTCGGACTGATTCAGCCGAACTGGTAATGACCACTGGCTGGCCACACCCCTGAATTGGTCTGCCTGCTCGAACACTCACCCTGCCTTGCCTTCGCCATGTGCATCCACTGCGGCCTCCTGCCTACACACAGGTAAGATCTACACACAGATCCTGGCTTGCTCACTCGGCTGTTTCCAAACTAAGCACCAGTTGGTTGGTTAAAGTGCGGGTTGGATTCTAATGTTCCATCACTGAAGGCTTTTAAAAAGAACTTTTTGGTGGCCGGCTGGCAAAGAAAGCTCTCAGCTGTGACTGGCGCCGCTGCTGCTCCTGCTGGCTGGGCAGACAAAGAGACTGGATGGTGGCTGCAGTCTCAGTCTGGCACGAGCTGTGGGCCTGGACTGAGGAGGCAGGGAGCGGCTTGCCTGGGCTGCTGCTGCGACATCTGCAGAAGGAGTCCCCCTTCTCACCTCTGATGGGCCTTCTTCACAGTTGCAGCAGCAGCACCCCGCTCCTGCTGGTGTGCTGACCTAGGCCACCAGGCCAGTCAGGTCCCATCTGTGAGATGAGTGCACAGGAAAAAAGGCTTCCCGCTGGACCTCGGGGGTGGCTTCACCAAGGATGTGCTCAGGCCCCAGGGAAGAGGGCGACCCTATTTCCGCAGCCCGACAGCCATGGCTGTTGGGCCAGGAAGAGCAATGGAGGGAAAGCTGAGACGACTACTGCTAACCTGCGGCATCCAAATTTGGATCTGGGGCCTGAATTTTAAAAAAAATGCAAAAAGTCCCAAATTATTTTGCCACTGGTTCGGTGGGCATGGCTTGGGGGGGTCATGTGACTAAATGTACATGAGTGATGTCAAGTTGGCCATGCCCATTCAGTCACATGCTCCCTGAACCAGTGGCGAAAATTTTTGAAATCTGTTAAGTTCTCGGGCTGCCGATCTGGGCTGAGCTGGGTTTCGCTGATTGCTAAATGTAGCCGTGGATTGGCTGGGTGCCTGAGAGCGGTCTTACAAATAGCCGTCTGATGGCTTCTCTTCTCAGCCTGTTGTAATTCAATGCTACCTTGTTAATAAATGGTTCAACTGCAACTTGGTGTCCGGCATTACCTCGGCTTGCGAACAAAGCAAAACCCATCACTGATACGATCCAAATTTGGCAGGGCCTGGGGTGGCTGTTGCCCTCTTTTGGAGGGCAGGTGCCCAATGGTGAGTGAGTGGCCAGGGAGGATGTGCGAGTGGCTGGAGAGGCTTGCATGAGCTCAAGGGTCAGGGAGAATACACAGGTAGAGGACACTTTCCCAAGCAACTTGGGACTTTCCTGCTGGCTTCCCTATTGACTTTGCTTCTTGGATACCAACAGGGGAGATGTGAATTTAGGATGCTACAACTGTCGTAAGTGAGAGCCAGTTGCCAAGCTCCCAAATCGTGATCAAGTGACCCCAGGTTTCTGGGACAGACAAAACTTCTAGGACTAATTGTAACTAACCATTATTCAACACCACTGTAATTTTGAATAGTCACTGAACAAGTGGCCATTAACCAAGGACTACCTGTATTTACTTAACAGCTCCTATAGATAATCCCAAGATCATAGCTTTGAGATCCTTTTGAATAAGGCAGCATTAATGAGATCCAGTGTAGTTTGGAGTTATCAGACATTGAGAACTTAGGGGAAAAAAGTAAAAATAATAATGTTCCTTTAATTATAACCTTATACGAGATATAGATGATAGTCCCAATTCATCTCTAAACTACCTACTTATTCCTTTGTTGACATTAAAACTCACCATATTGCCTACACTTCAAAGAGTAACAGTTATCTTTCCAAATGTTTTTTCAAACCAATAGAATTTTCACTCAGTGATCCCAAAACCTTTGATGTGTTCTTCATACTTATAGTAAATAATCTAAGGCAGTGTTTCTCAATCTCAGTAACTTTAAAATGTGTGGACTTCAGCTTCCAAAATGCTAACTGGGGGATTCTGGCTGGACTGGGGGAAGAGTTCATAGAAGAGTCAGCCTAGAATCAAGTGAACAAAGTTCAACCTCTCTTGAATTCCATTGCCCTTATCTAACTCAAAGCTTGTGCTACCCCTAGTTCAGTATATCCCTGTTCATAGGCATGAGTAGCAATACATCAATTAACTCAGAGACCTGATCTTTTGTGCCTGACACAGTTTCCACCCAGACATGGAATGATTTAATATTTGGATATTAAATGTGAAACACAAATCCCTAACCTAACAAAATCTTTGCCGTTCAGTACATCACTCAAATTGATGCTGCTCCAAGTCTGGTTCAAAGAGTACAGTTAGATAATAAAATGCCACTTTCCCCTAGGAGACACAAATCTTACATCATTATTACAGACCCTTTTAACTATTTTCTCAACTTCACCTCATATATTTCTAATAATGTATCTAATCAAATTACCATATTTTAAGCTTTAATTCTGCAAGATATCATAGAAAGTATATTATAGCAGAAGCAGCTGGTTTTTAAAGCATTGAATCACTCATAATTTAAACCCTAGACCTCCACCTAGCATGAAGTTATGAGCCCAGTTATCTTAAGATGGCTCATTACCTTTCCTTCCATCAATGAATCTAATCTTTTGTAGAATTCATTTTGCCTATTCATACACATATTAAGACTCAAAGAAGAAGAAGAAAGCCATACTTTCAAACAGATTTATCAATGCAATATCAAATATCAACTATTAGTTTTATTTTAATATTCCACACTAAAATGAATTTCTTGCTATGTTCAGTAATACCTTGGAGAAGTATTCTAGAAGCATTTTCTGATAAGCTTTTTCATAAGGATCTGCAGGGTACAACTTCTTTTCTGGGTAAACTTCATCCAAATATTCACAAGTGATTGGAGATTCACTGATCAGCTGACCCTTGCTTGTTTCTAGCACAGGTACCATTCCAAGTGGGTTCTTCTCAAAAAACCAGTCTGGTTTGTTTCTCAAATTGATATTTACAATTTCATGGCTAAATAGAATGAGATGAAACCAAGAATCTATTACTAAGACACTCTATTAAAATGATGTTATTCAAAGTTGTTGTGGGGAAAATAAGAGGAGGAAGGTATATTGGATATGTTCATCACCTTAACCTATTTGTAAAAATAATAAAAGACAGGATACAAAAATAAAAAATACAACTAGTAATTTCGTGCTATATGCTGATTGAAAAATAGAACATGGTAATATTAACTCTTGGAAACTGGAAAAAAAAGACACTTAGATTCTGATTTTATGGATACATCCACGTGTCTCTATATAAGGCTGTCTCTATGCCATCCAACCATGAAATCAGAACAGTTAATGTCTGTGGCTTGCATTTTCAAACTGACACTATGTCCATAATAGTTTCGGATTTCATGGCACAGCTAGGAAAGTAATTTGGACTTTATGCACTTGAATTACTTCGTAATAGCCTTTCCCTAGTGTGATCACCTTACATTAAGTTCATGGTAAAGCAAGTTTTATCCTCTAGTAGCACCTAGATAATCTCAGAAGTTCAACAGTAGCAATCTTCATTAGCATTAGGATACGAAATCACCTGGGAATAAAAAAGCATGCTGAAAGAGCAAAGATTGATTATTTTCACACTGTTGCCAAGAAATCTAAATGGAGAGACCCATCTATGAAGCCACTAGAAATTAAACTCATATTTAGAATTCAGACTTTAACTTAACCTGTTGGGCATGGAGGACAGCCTATTTTTTTTAAAAAAGCATGTCCTATAGTTGTTTGTACAAAACAACAGCTTACCACTATAAATAAAATGGACCACAGGCATAGGCTCACTATGTAAAAAGAGATAGGGGACAATATTTAAAAAAATAACTAATTGCCGCATTCCTTCAAATTGTTTTGGAATCCAAAAAGAATGTAGCTCAGACAAGTCTATACCTGAAATATTTCATCATCTAAAACCAATAATCTACTCATGCAATCAGTCCTGAGAAGATGACCTCCAATCATCACTAGACAAGAAATCCTGAAATGATTAAACATATTATATAATCAGAACAATAGAAACACTTGCCAGGATTTTAAAAGCAAACAACTACCTCTCCCTTTAAACTATCCATCACTTTCTCTATTGTATTTTCAAACTAGTGTTCAAATGAAATCTTTCTGGAGCAGAATCCTCTATTAAATAAATAAGGAATAAATCTGAAATTGAAAATATTCTATAGCAAGGGTGTGAAACTCGCAGCCCAGATGCGTCACGTGCTGGCCTGCCCCCACCTGGTTTAGCAAAGGGGAAAAAAGTCCTGATACATCACGTGAAAATGCCGTGACAACATGAGTTTGACACCCCTGTTCTATAGCATTAAGAGAAGGAAAATAAGTGTCTTTAAATACAATTTCTATAAACCCAAATACCTACCAACCCTCTGCTAATTTTCAACCAAACAGGTGTTGGTGTTTTTACGTTAAGCCCTAATGAATATGGAAGGCAAAGTATCTGCTCATACTTGATTCCTTTGGCTTTTAGGACGAGTACTGTTCTCTGTGCAAAAGGGCAGTGACGCATACTGTACAGACGGATGGTTCCTTCAGGCACTGGTCCTGGAGCAGGAGTTCCTGAAAGACAATCACCAGTCAGAATTAACAAAAACTATATTCTATCCTGCAAATAATAATACACCCAAAAATAGGGCATGAAGAAGTATAATACAGGTAGCCCTCAACTTATAACCGTTCATTTAATGACTTTTGAGGTTACAATGACACTGGGGGAAAAAGATTTATGACCATTTTTCATACTTATGACCATTGCAGCATCTCCATGGTCACATGATCAAAATTCAGAAGCTAGGCTCATATTTATGATGGTTGCACTATCCCAGGGTCACGTGATCACCTTTTGTAACCTTCTGACAAAGTCAATGGGGAAGCCAGACATTTAACAACTGTACTACTAGCTTAACTGCAGCTATTCACTTAACAACTGTGGCAAGAAAGGTCAGAAAACAGGGCAAAATTCACTTAACAAATGTTTCACTTAGCAACTGAAATTTTAGGCTCAATTGTAGTCATAAAAGAAAAAAAGAAAAAAGGGAGGGAATAAATCATTCAAAGCAAATATTGTCTATCTAGTAATTATTGTTACTCATTCCAATAGTTTAATTTTACACAGTCTGCCTTCATGCAATATATGCTAAGCTTGTGTACTCTGTTTATGTTTCAGTGTGTTGTACAAATTCACCCAGTGTGTTTAGTCTATAGTTCAGTATTTTGCAGAAATCCAAATAAAGTTAATTCAATAACCCAAGATTAAAACTACCCAAACTTCATGTGTTTTATGAATACAAATATTTACATTTGAGTCATAATAGAAAGGAATGAAGAATACAAAACATTCTTTTGTTAAAGTAAATTGTTATTGGCCAAATTATAAACAATTTTATGCACTCAAGTTTAATGTCTGTTAATATGCATACAGTAAATATACTAGGGCAAGGCTGCATATCAGGAACATACATTCCACCAAAAGGCATATTAGAAGTGTACACGCCCTCAACATATATTTGGTTGTATAATTTTAGATATGTAGCCTTTTAAAATCCTGATTATAGTGAAATCCAGTCATCGCCTTTGGCCATGCAAGACCAGCGATTAGGGGTGCTATCCTTAACGACATATTCCCCCCAAAATTCCATGGCATGTCGTCCCCCAACTCTTGAAAAACGGGGTGCGTGAAGACTAGCCCACAGCCCTAAAAAGGAGGGTTGCCTTAAGCCAGTTGGATTGTTAAAGAAGGTGCTCCTCCTTGGGATCAGAACGCTTGCTCACCTTTTCCCAAGCTTCTAGCGAATTCCCCAGACATCTTGCTTCGGGTCACCAGAAAACGGAACCAGCTGTGCACGTCGGAATTTTTCCTTAAGACGCCGCCTTTTCTCTCCACCGGCCCCTCGACGCAGTCTGGCTCCTCCCTCTTCGTTAATGGGCAGCTCTCCCTCCGTTGGATGCTAAAGAGCTTCGAGTTGAGTGATTGACAAGAAGTAAACAACTTGGAGGGCTGAGCGAATTGATCTACTACGGCGGTAAACTCTTCCGCAGAGCAACCTCTGGGACGCAGTTACTAGTTAACTCTAAGGCCGCATGCCTATAAGCGCAAAGTACGAATTCCATCTGCTATGTAAATATAGGTTTGAAAATCCGATACAAGAAATAAAAAGTATAGAAACAGGGTGGCAAATGGAGTCTACTCCAAGTCCTCTACCTGTGTTTATATTCTCTTTGTCTGTGTTCAGACGTCAGCGTGTCATTTTCATAGGAGAGAATTCAGAACGTTCCACATCAGACTAAACGATATAAGTCATGTCATGTAAACCACTGTAACATAGGACTTATACTAAGCCCTGTGATTCAACTTAATGTGTAAATCAGGCAACTTGCTTGAGGATGCGCAAAGGTAGCTATGCAGCTAACACAGAAAAGTAAAATGCAACTGTCCTCAGTAGCTGTATTGTGTATTATAGTGTATTTTTATTATTTATGCTGTTGGATAATTTTTGTTGTTGGAATTGGGTATTTTTGAACTCTGGCAAAGTGCCAAAATCTCTGGATGGGTGGTATATTAATATTTGTATAAATAAATAAATCAGTGTAACTTTTGTCTCTTGCAAGTCATTTCAATTTAAAATAATGCTTACTGGCTGTGCAGACTTAAAATTATGACCAGAAAAGGAAAATAGAATATAGAATAACAGAATTGGAAGGGACCTTGAAGGTCTTCTAGTCCAACCCCCTGCTTAGGCACCCCCTACAAATCCCCCTTCTTAAGATATCTTTTATATTATAAAATGCTGGTTATAATTGTTCTGCCTCATAAAGTAATGTAAACAGCATATATTAAGACTATATAGCAAATCTATAAAAATGTAGCAATAAGATAATTATCTGAGGGAAAGTTTATAAAAGAAGTAAACAAACCTGTTGGGTCATTGTTCCAGAGATATGCCACCTAAATCAGATTCCTCACTCCCTTGAACAATGCAGAACTCCTAATGTACTAAAAAAGTTCTTTAAAAGTCAGGAAGATATTCAGAGACGAATGTGCTTTGAATGATAGTCCTTGTTGAACTGTATAGCACAGCCAAACAGCAGCAGTTCACAACAGGAAATGCTTTATGACATTTTGTATTATGTCAGAAAACATTTTATGATCATTTTTATGTGATAGCTTTTTAAAAAACATTTGCCAAATTTCAATTCCATGGGAGTCATGGGTATCAGATTTTGAACATATTCTGTAATTTAGCCCATTTGAAGTACCTTGATTGAAAATGTATTGGCCTACAATGCACTGTTATACCCAAGTAATGTTACAGACACAAGAGTTTTATTAGTAGATAGACAAATGCTTTTTTCAGAAACACCACTCTTTGACTACATTGAAACTTATTGTAGAAAGTTCTCTTTCATCAGTAGAAAATAACTCAACCTGATGCCCAATATCTATTTATCTAGATAAATAGCTAGATAGGTATTCCAAAGCTTCTGTTTGTCTCTCAGCAATTTTGAAATGCTTTCCTCTTATTTCTGGTTTGCCATGGAATTCAAACTTGATTCTAAATTGTAGATCAGTGAATTTACACAATATGTATGTATGTATGTATGTATGTATGTATGTATGTATGTATGTATGTATGTATGTACACACACACACAGTGGGGCAAAAAAGTAGTCAGCCACCAATTGTGCAAGTTCTCTCACTTAAAAAGATGAGAGAGGCCTGTAATTGACAACATAGGTAGACCTCAACTATGAGAGACAAAATGAGAAAACAAATCCAGACAATCACATTGTCTGATGTGGAAAGAATCCTTTTGCAAATTATGGTGGAAAATAAGTATTTGGTCACCTACAAAAGTTTATCTCAATACTTTGTTACGTATCCTTTGTTGGC